TATTGTCAGTAAAAGTAATGGTAAGAATTACATCCATTTAGGCAGCGTACAGTGCAGAAACTATGGGCAGTTGTTTACATGCATTCACATGACCAATAAAACAAATAGTAGTCTTCCAGTTTTATAAACTAGGCACTATCTGCTGCTTCACTCCACGAATGCCCACAACAACCAGTGCTGGGCCAACTTGAAACCAGAAGCTCTGTCCAGACCTCCCATATTAGTGACAGAGACCAAAGCACTTGGGCATCATCTCCTGTATCAAGAAACACATCAGCTGAAAGCTGAATCCGAAGTAGAGTAGCAAGAATAAGACCAAGTCACCCCAGTATGGGGTGTGGGAATCCCAAGCAGCAGCTGAACCACTAAACCAAATGTCCACCCACATCATCTCCATTCTAGTTTGTATACACTCTTGTGTGGGTGAAAAGAAAAAAACATAGTTTATTCCATCAGTCCCATGTGTATAAGCATTTAGATTGTTTCTGATATATTTACCAATACAGGCAATGCTGTAGTAAGTCATTTTGTCCACAGAATTTCCACACTGTAGGAGGGACGTCTTCAGGGTGAGTTCTTACAAAGAAGATGGCTAAGTGGAGGGACAAGCATGTGTGTTTTTTGGTTTTCATGATGTCCAGATCCCCACCAGGGCTTGTGTCATGCTGCATTGTCTACAGCTGTGGAACAGGCCTCTTATCCCATAGCTTCATCCGCTGAGTCTTGGTCAAGCTTCTGGATGTTTATCAGTGTGTGGTAGATGACACATGGTGTCTCTACTGCTTTCCCAGGTACATGAGCATGGAGCTGGATGGGAAGTGGAGCATCCTGGACTTGAACCAGCATTCTGATATGGGAAGCAGATTTGCAAGTGGCTCCTTAACCCACTCCACCAGAATGCCATGCCCCTTATTGTAATTTTGAGTTTTTCTTAGTAAGAGAAAAGTTGAACATCTTTTCATAGGTTTGAAAGACATTACAGACTCTTATCAATCTGTAATTTCTCTTTTGCTTTTGTTTCTCTTGTTTCTTGCCATTCAAAGTTGTGAATTAGAAAGTCGCACGTGAGAATTTTTGCTACTAGATCTGAAACTGTGTGATAAATATGTAGAAATTTAAATAGTTGGGAAGGAAAATAACCCACTAGGATAAATGTTCCCCCCAAAAAATACAAAAAAGTATGCATTTGAATATGGGTTTTTTTATAGATTTAGTGTATAATTCACAAATCAGGAAAATTGTCTAAATAATACACCAACGGAAATTCAGTTAAATAGTAAGTGGAACCATCAAAGGACTAGAATATATTAGCAGTTATATCAACATCTCTCAGTCTCAGTACTGTTGAACTTTTAGACTGGATAATTTTTTGCTGTGGGAAGCTACCTGTGTATTCCAACACAGCAGAAACATTACTGTCCATACCCAGTGGGTGCAGGTAGCTCACCCACTCATGAGTAACTTGGCCAAAGTCCCCAGAGTTGGAGGGGAAGGTAACAGCACCGCCAGTTTAGAGCTCACCATATCACATTGCTCAAATCCTTGCACCCAGGCGCAAAATCACATAGGAAAAATTTCAAAATGCTGATTACATTGAAGGGAAAACATGTAAGGTTTGAAGAAAGTATATAAGTTCAAGCAATATAACATTCCAATCACATAAAAAGTAATCAGTAAGAAGATATCTAAATCGCTTCTCGGCCTTTTGGCTAAGATCAAGTGAAGAAGATATCTAAATAGCCAGATAAATATCTCAAAAAAATTATTGTATTCAATAACTGAAAATATTGAAAATAAAAATATGAGTAAATAGATTCAGGATAAATGCTTTACCTTTCACATTGGTAAGCATGAAATGCATACAGAGGTCCCAGGACAGTGGCCTAGCAGCTAAGGTCCTTGCCTTGCACACAACAGAATTCCATTTCTGTTTGTTTCCCAGCAGGCCTGTTTCCCATCCGGCTCCCTGCTTGTGGCCTGGGAAAGCAGTAGAGGATGACCCAAAGCCTTGGGACCCTGCAGCTATATGGGAAACCCAGAAGAGGCTTCTGGCTCCTGGCTTCACATGGGCTCAACTGCATTGCAGCCACTTGAGGAGTGAAGCAGTGGATGGAAGATTTTCTTCTTTGTCTCTCCTCCTCTCTGTATACATGGCTTTCCAATAAAAATAAAATAAAAAAGAAATACATATGGAAATTCATAACTTCATGTGATAGAAGTATAGATAATTATAGCTTTGATGAGATATAATGGACATAGTTCAGCTTTTCAAAAAGATATACAACTTTTGTTCATGCAGTTCTACATCTGGTACTTTATCCTAAGGGGATAACTAAACTATCAAGAAGTACATCGCAGTATTACTCATAATTGCTTAACACTGGAAAACCATATGTCTAAAAATAAGGAACTGATCAAAATAAATTAAGCCATGTCCATTCGTAGAATGCATTCCGCCGCTGTTAAAATCAATGAGGTACATTCACAGGGGGAAATAAACAAATGGTAGAGATTGCAGTGGGATAATTGTCTTCATGTAACAGAGGTGGAGGGATAACTCTCTCCTTTTTTTTATATATGATATTGTTACCAAGTTATTTTTTAATCTATTTTAATTGGAAACTCAGGTTTACAAAAAGAAGGAGAGACAGAGAGGAAGATCTTTCATCTGCTGATTCACACCCCAAGTGGCCGCAGCAGCTGGAGCTGAGCCAATCTGAAACCTGGAGCTCCTTCCGCGTCTCCCATGCGGGTGCAGGGTTCCATGCTTTGGACCATCCTCTACTGCTTTCCCAGGCCACAAGCAAGGAGCTGTGGAGCAGCCAAGACACAAACTGGTGCCCATATGGATCCCGGCCTGTGAAAGGCAAGGATTTAGCCACTGGGCTATGGCACCGGGCCCTACAGGAATTCTCTTTACTGGTCAGATTATATGGATTTTTTTCACTTATATTTGATTTTACATTTGCTAGAGATTAATGAACCTGAGTAATTTATATCATAAAAAGGAAGAAGTAAAGCATTTTTAATCTTTTCTGTCAATTATGAATTGTTCAAGTCAAAAAATTTACCAAAAGTAAAATACGATGTAGTGCCCAGATGACACATTGAGTTAAGTGATCGCTTGGGATACCCACATCCTTGTTGCAGTGCCTGGGATGGAGTCTCACCTCTGCTTCCAATCCAGCTTCCTACTAATGTGACTGGGAAGCAACACATAGCGGCTCTTGTACTTGGATTCCTCCCACCGTGATCTGCATGGAGTTTGGGCGCCTGGCTTCAGCCTGGCCCAGCCCATCTACTTAAGGCATTGGAGGAGTGAACCAACAATTGGAATATTGCTGTGTGTATGAGCATGAGTCTACCTTTCAAACAAATACCTTTTAAAAAGGTAAAAATGAATAAAATTTGAAATAATAAAGAATTTCCTAGAGCTGACCTGAAATAACAGAATACTAACTGCTGATCACTTGATTTTAAAAAAAATGAAGAAAAATGAAAAAAAATTTCTACAAATTGATGTTTGTAAAAGCAGTATTTATCACTAAAAAAGATACAAAGATAATTTAATGCCCCAAAGTAAGTATGCATCTGCTGAGCATGTGAAAAGCAGAAAGTTTCTAAAAGTGTAATACCTTGTATCAAAAGTGGTTCTTCTTAGCCACATAAATATTATAAAAGAACTGGAGTGTCTAAATGTATTATTAAAGCACAATAGAGAACTTTCCCCTGTAAGGGTGTGTGCTGTGTCTCGACAGTAAGTTGTTTACTTCTGATATGAATTGACCAAAGGAAAAGTGTCTAAAATTTGATTTATCCTGATACAGGTTGCTTCCGGTGAATGCAACGAGGACACCGAAGTTTACAACATCACCCTGTGTACCGGGGATGAGCTGACTCTAATGGGACAGGCAGAAATCCTTTATGCAAAGACTTTCAAGGAAAAGTCACGACTCAACACCATCTTCAAAAAGATTGGGAAGCTCAACTCCATCAGCAAGCTGGGCAAAGGCAAAATGCCGTGCCTCATTTGCATGAATCACCGGACCAATGAAAGCATCAGCCTGCCCTTCCAGTGCAAGGGCAGGTTCAGCACACGCAGTCCCCTGGAACTGCAGATGCAGGAGGGCGAGCACACCATCCGGAACATTGTGGAGAAAACCAGACTTCCTGTGAACGTGACTGTGCCCAGCCCTCCTCCCAGGAACCCCTACGACCTCCACTTCATCCGCGAGGGGCACCGCTACAAGTTCGTGAACATCCAGACCAAGACAGTGGTGGTTTGCTGTGTGTTGCGGAACAACAAGATCCTCCCCATGCACTTCCCTTTGCACTTGACTGTCCCCAAGTTCAGCCTCCCAGAACACTTGGTGAAGGGGGAGGTATGGCCTGAAACCCTGATCCATCACTGGCTGGGTATCTGCCAAGAACAGTTTGACATTGATGAGTATTCACGCGCCGTCCGTGATGTGAAAACTGACTGGAATGAAGACTGCAAGAGCCCCAAGAAGGGCCGGTGCTCCGGCCACAACCACGTGCCCAATTCCCTTAGCTATGCCCGTGATGAGCTCACCCAGTCCTTCCACCGGCTTTCCGTCTGTGTGTATGGCAACAATCTCCATGGCAACAGCGAAGTCAACCTCCATGGTTGCAGGGACCTGGGGGGAGAGTGGTCCCCTTTTCCTCATGACATCCTGCCCTATCAGGACTCTGGTGACAGTGGGAGTGACTACCTTTTCCCAGAAGCTAGTGAAGACTCAGCGGGCATCCCAGGCAAGTCAGAACTTCCTTACGAAGAGCTGTGGCTGGAGGAAGGCAAGCCCAGCCAGCAGCCTCTCACTCGTTCCCAGAGCGAGAAGAGCAGATGTGAGCAGTTCCGAGGTTCAGGCCGGTCCAAATGTACAGCTTCGCCTCTTCCTGCCCCTGGGACCCTGGGAGTCGCCATGAAGTCTTCAGATATTTCCCTACCTCCACCTCCAGTGCCTCCCAAATCTGAAGCCGTAAGTCATTTCTGCTTTCCAACTGCGCTCCAGGTTTTCTGTCTTCCCTGCTGTATCCTTCCGTCACTAATTTTCTTTAACACATACACACACACCAAAACCTCCCTAAATTGCACATTCTCAGAATGAACATACTTGCTTGAGTTGGCGTGCCAGCCCTGTTATTTTTGCCTGGTAAGAGTAGAGTGCTGCTCTGTGTTAGGTGAGAAATAGGAGAGGCTTAGACTTCTGTTTGGAGGGGACAGTGGCATCTGGAAGGCCAGAGAAGAGACAGTGAGACTGGCACAGGTGTGAGGTGTCAGTGCCCTGGACCATGGCAGGTGGCAGGGATAGATGAGGCTGCTGGGCTAGACCCAACAGTGTTTACTGATGAATTGTCCGTGGGTCATGAAGAAAAGGACCTAATTGATAACAACTCGATTTTTAACCTGAGCAGCGAAGCGGGTCTGAGGGCCTTTTACTTTGAGTGGGAAGACAGAGATGTATTTGGGGGAGGGAGGGAAAGCAGACTGGATTGAGACGTAGGATGGGTATGTTTCTGTGTATGCATGAAGATGCACACGCGTCATCAGGCACCCACGTGGGTCTATTTAAGCATAACTCATCAGACCTTGTTGAGCCTTTTAGCACATTTTGATATAAAGAGATCAGAAGGAGACAGAGAAAGGGCCTTGTAATTTAACCTTGTTCTTTGGTAATTACTTTGAAATTTAGGTTGCATGATGGCTGGATTGACTAATTCTCCCCTTCCAAGTGCCAGGATCCCATATGGGTGCCAGTTTATCAGCTGCTCCACTTCCCATCCAGCTCCCAGCTTGTTGCCCGGGAAAGCAGCAGAGGATGGCCCAAAGCCTTAGAACCCTATACCTGCATGGGAGACCAGGAAGATGTTCCTGACTCCTGGTTTTAAATTGGCTCATTTCCAGCTATTGTGGTCATTTCTCTGTGTCTCATTCTCTCTTTAAATATGATCTGTCTTTCCAGTAAATAAATCTGAAACATTTTTAAAAATAAAATCTATGGCCAGTGTGGAAAGGTTGACTCTTCCTTGTGCCCTTTGCCTACTGTCTGTTTCTCCTGAGTGGTCTTGGAACATCTCTCTGGAACTCTAGAGATATGTAGAACCCAGTTCCTAAACTGTAGAGTTACTAGGCCAGATGCTGGAAACACAGCTGCTGTCCATGAGACCTGGGCTCTGAGCCCTGGGACTGTTGAGCCTTCCAGGGAGGATGGCAGATGAACAGAGGTGGCTGCTGGACTAGTTCAAACAATGACCATGCAAATGAGAGCAAGTCAGGATTAGGAGGAGAAAAAGAAACATCTGGTTGAGGGATGAGAGAAGTTTTTCTCAAGATTATGACATTTTAAGGAATTTAGGAGTCTCCATGATTGGAAGGTCAGAGAGATGGGAAATAGGAATATTCCAGACAGTCCCAGGCAATGGCCTGGGCAATGGCCTGGGCAAGGGGCAGGAGCCTGGGCAGCTTTTAACACAGCCAGGGCAAACCAGGGAGTTCTCTTGACCCAGCTGCATGAAGGCAGTGGTGGCTGAAGGCTGGACCTGGGACATAGTACTAGGCAGCAGTTGGCACCAGGCAGCCTGCTTAGATGTCCATAAAGAGCTCTAGTTGTCACCAACTTTCCTGAAAGATGGTCCACCTACAACTGTTTGTTCCAGAACCTAAGAACTCCTAAAATCTGCAGGTCTAGACGTACTCCATACCATAAATGATCTTTTGTGAATGGGATCCTATGGCACAAACACAGAGGTCGTTGCATTCATTCAGTGGAGTCATGGAATATGCAGAGGCGTCTTGGTGTGTCCAGGGCTCCTAGATTGATGTCAGAGGTTCCCTGAGGATATTCCAAGAAGCTAGGTAAAATTCACGGGGAGAGAGCAAGCATTTAGCCCAACAGTGAAAGCATCCTCATCTCACATCTAAGTACCTGCCTGGCCTCCACTCTAGAATCCAGCTTCCTGTTATTTCAGCCCTTGGGATGCAGCAGTAATGGCTCAGCTCACTGGGTTTCTGCCACCCATACGCCATGGAAGTAGACCTGAATTGCATTTCTACTTCCCTGCCTTAGGCCTGTTGCTGGCATTTAGGGAACTAACCAGTAAATGAGAATACTTTGTCTCCTTCTTTTGTGTGTCTCTGAAATAAATTTTAATATAAAAGCTAAGGTATACACCTCCTGGCGAGTACTCTAGGCAGCTTTAGGGATGTCTTAACTTACCTGCCCAGTTGGTGTTCCTTGAAGGTTGTAATAGGGTCACGCGAACTTTTCTTATTCAGCTTTGATCCTGCTTCTCACATCTTACATAGCTGGGACTCATGTTTGTTGACTGACTGATGGATTCATCTAAGGTGGTCACACCCAGGGTCATTTATGTAATCAAGTTTAGAGTTAGGAAACTAACATCATTTGTTTTTACTGTGGCTAATGAAAGATGAGTAAGAACGCAAATATTAAGCAGTCCAAACTTGACCTTGGTACTGAAACGAAAACATTAGAGTTAAATTTGAAGCTAAAAGAAACCTCTTAAAGTGATGTTGGCCTCCAGCCTAAGCTGTAATTCCTTGTGACGTAAGAGAATCCTTTTGGAGAAGTCCTGTGTTTACAGAAGCCTATACACGTACAGGATTTTTTTTATAAACACCTGAAATCATTTAATTTTCTTTATTAAAAATTTAGGCATTTCCAATGAAGTCATATTTTTGTGGGTTCTGTGACCATGAAGCAAATTTTCCATTTTTAGGATGTGTGTGGGATCCAGAGAATGTCATAATTGTTAGATGTGGTCTCAGCTTGTGGTTTTCAAAAGAGAACTTTGATGGAGCGTAAATTCAAAGTGCTCCCACAGGACTGAATAGAAGCTCTTCACAGGGTGTTTGCAGTGACATGAGCATGGGGTGAGGTGCACCTTGATTCTCACAGCCATCCCACCTCATCATTAAAGATGGTGAGAAGCTTCCAACAGGACTTTGGTTGGGAAGATGACAGCCCAGGTCATAAGATCATCAGCCAGGTAGGGTGCAGGGGTAATGGGGGAGTAGGAGAAAGGGTGTCTAGTATGGCAAGAAAGCAAAGCTAGCAATTGACAAATGAATGGTACCAGCACCCCAGCTGCACTGAGATCCGGGACGTGGAGTGATGCACACCAACCCAGCTATGCTGAGATTTGGAGCATGGGGTGATGCACAGCATCCCAGCTGTGCTGAGATCTGGGCGTGGATGATGCATACCAGCCCATTGCTTGTCTTCTGCTTCTCTTTTGGCTCCAAGGTGTGACCGCCAATGCCTAAGATTCATGTATTTATTTGAAAGGCAGAAGGATAGCTAGAGACATCTTCAGTTCACTGGTCCATTCCCCAATGGTCACAGCAGCAAGAGCTGGGACAGGCTGAAACCTGGAGCCAGGAATCCCATCTGATGTCACGGGCAAAGATCCAGGTATTTCAGCCATCATCTCCTATTCCAGCCTCTGTCGACAGGAAGCTGGAACTGAAGCACAGTAGCAAGGATTTGGAACTTGCACACTCACATGGGAAGTGGATGTCCCAGGCACCACACCATCCATTCCTCTGCAGCAGATCTTGAATACCTTCCTTTTTTTCCTGGGAAAGTGAGAATAAATCTGTCCCATTCAGCCACCACATGTGCTGTGTTTCTGGCCTGGTATTGCAGGCCTGACTTCATTCAGGCTGTGCTTGTCAGCCTTTTCCTACCTGTATTTTCAACAAGGTAACTGAAGGCTGAAAGATTGAACAAAAAATCCTCAGTGGCAGAGTCCTCAGCACAGTCCTGTAAAGATAGTTTGTCAGTGTCCCTTGTACTTGGTGTCGCTGTGTGTCTATAACGCCTCTTTAAGATAGTTTTCTTCTTTTAAGCAGAACATTGCTTCTCAGAAACTCTTCCCTCTCTCACACGAACATGCCACTAGAAAATCACCAGTTCCAGGGTTAAGTGGGTGGAAATGACCCTGCTACCTGTATCCCCTGGCTCCCACTGAGCCCTGACACAGGGAGCCTGCCCAGCTCCGTGGGTGATGACATTTCCACTTCAAAAAAAAGGATTTATTTGTTTTTATTGTAAAGTCAGATATACAGAGAAGAGAGACAGAAATATCTTTCATCCATTGATTCACTCCACAAGCGGCCACAATGGCCAAAGCTGAGCCAATATGAAGCCAGGAGCCTGGAGCCTCATTGGGTCATCCTTCACTGCTTTCCCAGGCCACAATCAGGGAGCTGGATGGGAAATGGGGCCACCGGGATATGAACCGGCACCCATATGGGATCCCAGTGTGTGCAAGGTGAGGACTTCAGCTGCTAGGCTACCATGCCAAGCCTGGCATTTCCACTTTTTAAAATTCTGCAAGGCACCCCACAGCAGCATAACCTGACAACCTCTCACAAATAAGTTAACCTTACTGACTCATGGATTTACTCTAAACATATCCTCTGGCTTCCACCACTGAGCTGCTAGTCACCATTTTTATTCCCTAGGTATTGATCAACGTGTCTGAAACGTTCAGCCCAATACACTGCACAAGTGGCAGTCTTCCAGAGCTGCCTTCGATTTTTTTTTTCTTTCCTTTTTAGAAAATGCCATTTTGGAGCACACAGTGATATGAAGATTTTTTTACTGTACCATGTTCTATATATAGACTGTTTGGCTCCCAGGCCTGATTCTCAGCGCTGTGAAGTGAGTTAGAAATGATTATCAAAAACATAGGGTCACAACTGTTTGTGTAACTATTTGGGTGGCAGGAACCTAACCTGGGGACCTCAGGAGCCATGATCACCACCTTCCATCTGTCTTCAGTAACAGAGAAAGAAAAAAAATCCATTCACTTTTCCTTGTGCAGCAACTCCTGCAATCCTTGGGAGAAAAATTTTGAAAGGACTCTAGCTTGTCACCCACTGGTTTAAGCCAAGTTTTCCAGCAGTATTAATGAATTTGTTCATCGTTGTGATGGGCAAGGACATACCCCA